GAGAAGCTGAAGTTAGTGAGATTAAGACATTCAGTAGGATCTCACAGCTGGTAAACAGCAAAACCAGGATGGAAGTCCAGGTCTTTGGACACAGGCCACTGTGCTCAGACCCAGTCACTCACATCAGAGCACGAGACATAAATGATTTTGGACAGTGTCATGGGAACAAGGGGCCATTGTCCACTTTCATGCTGCAGAGCTAGCCTGCACACTAGAATCTCTTGGCATCCTTTTACCTTCACCAAATGAGAGTCTTATCCCCAGTGTGGACAACAAAGATAGCACAGCATACTCCTGTCCACCTGTTTGAATAGTCCACAGATAGACTGAGGATTGGCCAGGAAAAGTTGCCCAAAGAAAGTAGTTCAGCCTGAACTTTAATTTGAAAGGTAGGAAGCCTGGAAGAGGTGTGAGGAGAAAGGTACCAGGCTAGGAGCTGGATGGTCTCTGCATATCAAGAGATCAATGTCAGCCTCTTTCTAGAATAGTCAGAGCTAGACAGAGCAGAATCTGCACCAAGGAACAGTGTGGCTTACATTCTTCTAGGCACACTGTGGATGGAGGCAGTTATAGTGTGGTCTCAGAAGGTAGCCTTGACTTCTCTTGATCCCTGTCCCCCACTCCATAGACAGAGATCGTGTACAGTCAGGAAGCATTGAATGGACTGCTGTCTGCAACATGCCTTGAACCTTGCCAGGCACACAGTGAGCCCAGGATTGGCCCAGCGTTAAATAGCTGGGACCTGAGGTATGCCCTCTCTACTAAATCCAGCACCATCTTCACATGTAAAATCTTGTTCTAGCTGCATTGGAAATACTCTGGCACTTCTCAGAGAATCTGGATGACTTGGATTTAGCAAGCAAGAATAGCAGGTCCAGCACTCAGGAAGACCCAAGGAAAGGATAGGAGCCTTCACTTTGAAACTTGGGGTCTGAAACTTCAGGTCTCCTTTTCCATGCTGATGAGAACTTCTCCAAGTCTAGCCAGTCCCATCCCAGTGTCTGCAGGTTGGAGACCTAGCTCTTCCCGTAGCCTAGCCTCACCACACAGTAAGAACGAACTCTAAAAGCACCACTCAGGCCCTATGCTGGAGAATTGGTTTTTTTCACAGTATCTCAGGAGCCCTACACCAACTGCTCACAAATGGCTGTGCTTCACATGTCTCAAGTTAACCAGTTGTCTCTCTACCCTCCAACCATTTCATGAATGTTGGTGGTAGATACTATCAGGAGAAAATGAACCCTGGAAGTACAGCTTAGTGGTAGACCACTTGGCCTGGGCTTGATCCTAGCACTACAAACAAAAGTTAACAGTTAACTATGTGGGAAGCCAGGTGGCACCACACACCTTTAGTTATTTATTTTTTTAAGATTTATTTATTTATTATGTATATAATTTTCTGTCTGCATGTACACTGGCATGCCAGAAGAGGGCACCAGACCTCATTGTAGATGGGTGTGAGCTACCATGTGGTTCCTGGAAATTGAAATCAGGACTTCTGGAAGAGTAGACAGAGCTCTTAACCCCTGAGCCGTCTCTCTAGCCCAGCACCACACATCTTCAAACCCAGCACTCAAGAGGCAGAGATAGGCAAGTTTCTGAGTTCAAGGTCAGCCTGTTCTACACAGTTCAACACCAAGGCTACACTGTGAGAGAGACGCTGTCTCTCAAAAAAAAAAAAAAAAAGAAAGGGCACATGGAAGCTTACTGTGTTGACTCAGGCTTCTGATCCTAGGATTTGGGATACAGAGGCAGGAGGAGCTGGCTGAAGCTCATGGTTATACAGCTTACACAGCTAGTTAAAACCCAGTTGAGTTATAGGAGATAGTCTCAAAATAAGTAAATGGTACATAGTAAAACTTGTTAGATAGAAACTGTTTTTTTGTTTTTCTGTGTTGGGTGTTGAAGTCAGGGCCTTGTAAATTCCTAGGACATCTCTTCTACCTAGCTACAGCCTGGCCCTGAGTTTTGTTTTTTTGTTTTTGTTTTGTTGTTGTTGTTGTTTGTTTGTTTTCTTTTGGTGTTAGGAATTGAACCAAGGATCTCCCATATGCTAGTCATATGTTCTAGCACGTCCCCAGCCACAAATCATTTTAATAAAATCCAGAGCATTAGTAATCTGCCATGGCACCCATGTAGAGGGCCCAGGAACTTGGGAGGCTGAGGCATAAAATTCTCATGAGAAAGAACTAAAACCAACAAAAACAATTTTATTGCAGGGGGGTATAATTTAATTTTTTTTTTTTTTTTAAAGAATGTTGATCTAAAAATTAAACTCTTACTCACTAGAGTTGTGTTTTCTCAAGTCTTTTGGTTATGAAAGCTACAGTGTTAAGAGTTTCCATGAGCTGTTTATAGCTACAAGTCAGACCTTCCTCTGGCTTTGCACCATAAGGTCTGAAGGTTGAAAGAGGGAAGTTGAGGTTCAAAAGAGTTATTATGGCTAGCAGTGTTCACAGCTGATAAAAGCAGTGGGACTTGATCCCAGGTCTGTCTGTCCCCAGTGCTAGAATTCTTTGTTGCTTTGGCAGAAGTTAAGAGGAAGGGAGAACTTGGGGGAACAGACTCACCTCTCCACAGCTCTCTCTGAAATGCCTGCTAAAGGCTTGTGAGAGCCATATCCAGGCTGTGCCGGCCCAGGCTGCACTTGTCTACCTACCTCTGCTGCTTCCCACTGCCTATCCCAGACCTCTCAGACCAGACCACAGCTCATAGTATTGCAGGTGGGAGGAGGGCTGTCACCAGGCCTACAACCCAGCCGAAACACCTTCTGCCAATGCAGCCTCGGCCTGCTTTTATCACCTGTGGCTCAGCTCCTGCCCCCCTCAAGTGGCCCTAGACTTCCACCTCAGGAGAACAAGAGCATATCGCCAGTTTCATTAACCTTCACCATCTACCCCAAAGGGGAAGGGGGACCACTAGGATGTTTCTCAGCAGGAAGCAGTGAACTGTAAGTCTCTTAGGAACCATGGAGGGTCATAAAAGTGCTCTGCCCACAGTAGAGTGCATTCAAAGAGTTAGCTAGCAAAATATACCACTATGCCTGGCATGGGGCGATGAGGATGAGACAGGGCCCGCCCCTCAAGTTCACAGACTCAGTCAGACCAGTGGCATCACATGAGTCATCTTTTGTGGTGAGGAAAAGCAGATCCTTTTTCTCAATGCTTGCCTGTCATCCCAACTGTTAGGGATGAGACAGGAAGAGCAAAAACTGGAGGCCAGCCTGGGTAGCCTAAGGAGACTCTGGCTCCGAAGGATGTGTATGTATAGTTCAGTGGTAGAGCACATGTGCAGAAATCAGTCCAGACATTGCGCACTTGAAGTGGAAGCTGCAGTTGAACCCATGGGATACCAAACATTAGTTTAATTCTCTTAGTAATCATTGAGAGTATCAGACTTGGGTTGTTCTATAATTCCAGCAGTTGGGAGGCAAAGCAGGAGGATCATTGCAAGTTTGAGGATGACCTGAGCTGTAGAGTGAGACCCCATCTTAAACAATAAACTTTTGAGAAAAGTATAATACTGTTCAGATATAGAAAGAGTTACACGGAGCAGTTGAGTAACTTCCCCAAGGTCATACCTTTAAGAAGAGGTAGAGATAGGACTTGAACCTAGAAAGCATGTCTCCAGTCTACTTGGTTAAGAGGATAAGCAGGGTATGTGCTTCAGCTTCTCAAGCCACTTTCTGCCTCTGCCTGTATCCGCACATCACTCAGGCTCACCCTCCCCCAAAAGAGAATCATCTAGCTGAGCCCACAACTGCTTCTGCCTTCCATTTCGTCAGAGCCCTTCTGTGGATGCCCACTCCATAGTCCAGCCATGTGCCTGCCACTTCTCTGCCTATGATGCCATTCATCATCAATCACTTCACACAGCCTGAGGCTGCAAGGGATCAGTTGCTTGATAAATGGAAAACTTGCCCAGAGATAGCTCTGAAATTTCATATTCTCCAAGCCACCAGCCTTTAAAAAAAAAAAAAAGGACCTCTCTATCATGCCATTGTGACCTAGATGTTTCCAGGCCTACCTTGGTTTACTTTTTAGTTGGGAAGCCAAACTGGGTTGTCTTCTATGACACACATTCACAGTTCTTAAACATCCTGCTACGGGCCAGCCCTGAGCTGGGCATCTTCCTGCTTTATTTCATCTTCACACACCTCTTTGAGACAGGCACTAAGCTTATCCTCACATTCAGGTAAGGAGACCAAAGCATGGGGAGACTACCACTAATGAGGCCCCCACAGGACTGCAGTACGGTCATACCCACAACCAAGAGGCCTTGGTTTGCTAGTCTTGCTCTAATGTAATCTGTGAAAGAACATCTTTGTTCCCAGCCTGGCCAGAATATGGGGCATGCTGGGGAACAATGTTTTTAAAGTTTGGGTAGTCCTGAGCCATGGAAACCTCATAGTAGGCGTGAAAATGAGGCTGTTCCTACCCTAGGGGCTGCGATTCATCTAGCTGGTGGATTTCAACTACATTTGTAAAAGCCCAGTTCTGTCATCAGATCAGTAGCATAGGACTTGATAAAGTCTGAGAGGACATTTCTTGACCAGAAACTGACTAACAGAAGGCATGTGGGCCAGACTTAGAAATTCTGACTCTTCCCCCAAATTTTTCATACCAGATCTTCTTGTGTCCACTTTGCCAATAAGTAAATCAAATTACTAGGAGTTCAGAAACCTCAGTTTGTAACTCAGCTCAGATCCTGGCTTCATGTGCAACCCTGGCAAAGTCATCCTCTTGATAGACTGCAAATCTGTAGTTAGGGAACAGGAACATGTACCTATCAGGGTACTTTAAAAGGTATCCAGGGTAACAGCCACAGATAGGTATTAGTGGGGACTGTTAGAGCTGTGATGTTTGTGGGCACTGTTTGCCGACCTGCTTTGTCTTTCTTTCCAGCCCCTTCATGAATAAGTTTTTTCCAGCCAACTTCCCAAATCGCCAGTATCAGCTGCTCTTCACACAGGGCTCTGGGGAAAACAAGGAAGGTCAGTGCTGCCCGCTTCCCCCTGGGGTGTGTTTCCCCTCTTCTCTTTATCCAATACTGGGTTCTGCAAAGAAACAAATGATAAAGGAGAAACGCAAGTCTCATTGCCCTGGTTCATATTCCAGCTCTGCCACTACCCAGACTTGGGAATCAGAGTAATTTCATTATTTCTGAGCACTGGGTGTTTTTTATGGAGGTTTGTTATCCATCTGTAAAAATTTAAAAAAAAAAAAAAAATCTGATACCTTCTCCAGTTAAGGAGTAAGCAGAAAGCATTCATCACAGCGCCTGCCTCAGTAAAATCTGTGACAGCTGTTAAGTGATTGTTTGAAAAAGAAAACTATGAAGATGTGTTATTTATCATATAGATACAAACATGGTGACGAGTTAAAACTATGGCTTGGACCAAATGGAACATAATTCTCACACATGAAATGAATAGCCTGTGGAATGTATTCTATCCTCTCCTGGTTGCCAAGTACATTCTGCCTTGTCCTCGGAAAAGGTGATGTGATGATTCGTCTTTACGTCAAGTACATCTGCCAAATAAATGATTCCAATAGATTTTTTTTTTTTTAAGGCTAAGCCTGTTTGTTTTTTTGTTTGTTTGTTTGTTTGTTTTATCGACTATAGAGCCTTTGGGGTTTGAAGCCTCATCTACCTCAAGCTCCACTCAGGGGACCCTGGAGGGAGGTCTACCGCGGCAACTAGCGGTCTAGAGCGGCAACCGCTGTGTAGCCGAGGGAGGGCAGGAACATTCCTATTGGCCAGTTCCGCGGCGCAGTGCGCATGTCCAGTCCAAACCCGAGGTGACTGTCCATTCCTAGATACCGATACACTGACGCATCTTCCGCCTGAGCCCCGCCTTTCTGCCATCCTAAGCCAGAGAAGAGCTGGTGGGGCAACCACGTGGGCATCAGGGAAGCGGAAGTAATCGAATTTTGCGCAGCCGTAAAGCACAATCTGTCGGACCACCTTCCGGTTAGCGACAACGGCCGGCTAGGACGCCAGTGCGAGCTTTCCTGTATACCACAACTCGGTGGGACCCTCAGTTTTCCGCGCTTCGCCTCAGCTCTTCCTGTCGGCGCCCCTTCACCAAGATCATGTTCAAGAAATTTGACGAGAAGGAGAGCGTTTCCAACTGCATCCAGCTGAAAACTTCCGTTATTAAGGGTATTAAGAGCCAACTGACTGAACAGTTTCCAGGTATGGAACCATGGCTTAATCAAATCATGCCAAAGAAAGATCCCGTCAAAATAGTGAGATGCCATGAACACATGGAAATTCTTACAGTCAACGGAGAATTGCTGTTTTTCAGGCAGAGAAAAGGACCTTTTTATCCAACACTAAGATTACTTCACAAATACCCGTTTATCCTGCCACACCAGCAGGTCGACAAAGGAGCCATCAAATTTGTGCTTAGTGGTGCAAATATCATGTGTCCGGGTTTAACGTCTCCTGGAGCGAAGCTCTACGAAGCTGCAGTAGATACAATAGTGGCTGTCATGGCAGAAGGAAAAGAGCATGCCTTGTGTGTCGGAGTCATGAAGATGGCTGCTGCAGACATTGAGAAGGTCAACAAGGGGATTGGCATTGAAAATATCCATTATCTAAATGACGGGCTGTGGCACATGAAGACATATAAGTGAGCCTTAGACGCAATACACTTGAGCTAAATATAAATATTGTGTTGTATCTGTGTTTGTGTCCGTATGTGATATCATGAAGGCAATGCCCCTGTGGTTATGAATAAATTCAACAGATACCTTTAAAAAACAAAAAGGGGGTGTTGTAACCACAGGAGAGAGCAGAAATTGGCTAACAAGCAACCGCTTGCTGCACTTTGGAATCTGACAGAAGTGGCCGCTTGCTGTGGCCTGGGGAAGGCTCCACCACCTCTCTGGGCTTCCTTATTAGGAAATTTGGAAGCATACAGAGCAGGCCTGACATCAAGGTCTCTACCAAGGTACTCGCAACCAGAGCAGCCTTCGAGATTCCCTCTTGCCTCTTTTCCACATCTCTGTCTTTTCTCCTCCCTTGCTTGTGAAAGGTCACCAGCAGTCCCCTTGATTTCCTAAAATTCTGAACTTGGTAGGAGTAGCATTAATTGGGAACCCACTGTGATCTGGGCACTGTGATGAGGGCATTGTAAGAACAGACTTACTCCTCACAGCAGCCCCCTGAGGAAGGTGCTGTTGACCATTTACAGATAAGGAAACAAACTCTAAGAGGGGCTACCTCCCCACGATCACCCAGCGTCAGGTGGCAGAGCTTATGTCTCCAACACCCTGCATTTTATCTGGGCCTATGCCCCCACCCCCTTTAGAAAATTAAGAGGGTTGGAGATGGCTCCAGTGAGCTCTCCCCAGCCTGATACCCCTGCCAGTCTGACTGAGCTGAGGCTGAGCCCCTGGCCTGTCTGGCCATGCCGGCAGCCATGCCCTTTTCCATCCAGGGGCTGACAGGTTGGGGGGACAGTCTCACTCTGGGGAGTGGACTTACCTGGCCTCTTTGCCCAGAGATCATCAACTATGAGTTTGACACCAAGGACCTGGTGTGCCTGGGCCTAAGCAGCATCGTTGGTGTCTGGTACCTGCTGAGGAAGGTAAGTAGTCAGGGCCTGAGCAGAAGGGGAGGTTGGAGTGATGGGGCAGGATGGGGCACAGCGAGCTAGTCTCACTCCCACCTTTCTTCAGCACTGGATTGCCAACAACCTGTTTGGCCTGGCCTTCTCCCTTAATGGGGTAGAGCTTCTGCACCTGAACAACGTGAGCACTGGCTGCATCCTGCTTGGCGGACTCTTCATCTATGACATCTTCTGGGTGAGTCAGGCAGGGATGTGATGCCCAGCTCTGAGGCTCCTCCTCAGCCTCCCAGCTTCCCTGCATCTCTGGTCCACGTGGCAGTCTAATGGAAGTTGGTACCCCAGAACAGGTCTATTTTTGGTCCATCTATAAATCCAGAGGACCAAATCTCCTACCAAAGCCCAGTGTACCCATTGTATTCAGATACCTTCAGGTGGTCCTTACAGGGGTACTGCTTAATCCTGTGTGTCTAGGGAAAATCAGCTGAGACCTGGGGACATTTGGACAGGAGTGTTGGATGCTGGTGAATGGCCCGGCAAGGAGGGCCGAGGTTAGCTGTGCTCTGGCCGCAGGCTCACTTTCTAAGGCACTGCTAAGGGGTCTAAGAGTTGCCTGAGTTGAACATCCTTTCCCTGGCTCCAGAAGACCTGTCTTTGAAGAAAGGCTGCCTAGGGACTCTGCCTGCCTGTCCCTCCCCTCTCTGGTTTTTCAAGACAGCGTTTCCCTTTGTAGCCCTGGCTGACTTAGATCTTGCTCTGTAGACCACACTGACCTCCAACTCAGGGTTCTTCCTCCCTCTGCCTCACGAGTGCTAGGATTAAAGGCACATGCCACCACTGCCCAGTGGGATCTTTGTCTCTTAAGAGGGATAGAAGCTTGAATAACAGGCTGCCTGGCTTGGGCCAGTTAGGGTCTTTCTTAGACACCGTCACATTTTCTTTTCCTGGAACCACATGAATGACCACCTCAACTCAATGTCAGGTCAGCTCTCCCAGTTCCCTGTTCGGCTCTCTTACACCTTAGACAACACTGCATCTAGAAGCCTAGGGACAGCCTTTTCTTACCCACCCACCTCCCTTTAGACTCCTGTCTTCTCCTTCCAGGTATTCGGCACCAACGTGATGGTGACTGTGGCCAAGTCCTTTGAGGCACCAATAAAATGTAAGTGATCACCTCTCACAGCCCTGCATCCTCTCTACCCCGTCATCTCTGGTGTCACATCATTGGTGTCAGGACTTCTCTTTATTTCCTCATCATTGATTCATCTGTCTATGTTCTTGATCTCAGCCTTCCTCACAGACCCTGGCCTCGGTCCACTTAATCGTGACATGGTGTGGCATGAAATGTATAGGAATGAGATTGAACCTAGAGGAGAGGTGCTTAACAGTCCATTATAGGGCCTGCAGCAGCTTTCCAGGGGTAGGGACAGCCATGTTGATTAGGACCCCTTTGTTACCTGACTACCAGGTTCTCTGGGTGCTCTCCACTACCAATTCTCACCACACCTTGGTTTTGTTTTTTAGAATAACCATTGTTTACGAAAGTATTAGAAAATCCAGCTGTGGGGGGCGGGGCACGCCTTTAATCCTAGCACTTGGGAAGCAGAGACAGGCAGATCTGTTGAGTTCAAGGCCAGCCTGATAAACAGATCGAAGTTTCCTGGACAGCCAGGGCTACACAGAGAAACCCTGTCTCAACCCCTCCCACCCACCTACCCAAAAACAAAAACAAAAAAACCTCAAATACCAGTGTCTTTCAAGGACAGTTGAGTTTTTGTTTGTTTGGGTGTCAGTTGAGATAGATTTCAGGTAGCCAAAGTCATCCTGGAACTCACTGTATAGCGAAAGGTGGCTTTGAGCCTTTGGTTCTTCTGCTTCTACCTCCAAAGTGCTAGGATTGCAGGGCCTGAATAAACAAGAAGAAAATTGTTACCTCAAACTACAGTAAGCCTGGGTAGAACCGCTCGGGATGGGTTAATGCCATTCAGTGGAATCACCGAAACCAAGGTTATTTCTGCCCTCCCAACCCACCACTCTAAACATATTTGTTACCTGTCCTTTAGCTCACCTTTCCAAGGTCCCTGGAGAGGAGCCACAGCTCTAGCACTGACTACTCATCCAGACATGTCCAGAAGGGACCAGTATTTCTCTTTCCTCACGGAGTGCTCCCTCCCCTCTGCCTCCAAATCCACCTTGAAGCTTCCTTGCTTTTTCCTTGGCCAGGTCCTGCGGCTGTAGGTGTAGCCAGTAGTGAAGTCACCTACCATGCATGAGGACCTGGATTCAATCTCCAGCGCCCCAAAAAGATATAAAAGTAAAAACATACTGGGATTTTTGGCTGAGCATGGTGCCACACATGTAATCCTGGTACTTGAGAGGAATGAAAACTCAAGACCAAACCCAACTCAGTGGTGCACACCTTTAATTCCAGCACTCAGGGAGACAGAGGCAGGTAGACCACTCTGAGTTGGAGGCCAGCTTGATCTACAAAGCAATTCTAGGACAACCAAGGCTACACAGAGAAACCCTGTCTCAAAAACAACTACCATGCTTCAGCACGGTAGATGAGGAATGCAGGTTATCATAGAGTCTCAGCCCTAGAGTAACCTGGGATTACCAGGCTCAAGGACCAAACTGGGTATGGTGGGTGAGAGTGGGTGACCTTGAGAGATGCTTGATGGTCTCTAGAATCATTGCAGCACTGGCTTGTGGCAGAAAGCTGTTGGGGTGAAGTCAGCTTAGGGCTTCTTCCTCATAGTTCCATAACAATGCAGAAGAAATAATGGTGAGTGAAACCTTTGACTAGATGATCCTAGAGTCCTCCTTGCTGTTAAAGCTGCCATTTCATCCTGTGGGAACCCTGTCATCCCCCTATACACTCGAAACAAATGTGTGTGAGCTCTCCTTCACGGGGATGGAGGCTGGCAGCCAGAGTAAACAGGGCTCCCTCTGACCCTTCCCATCTCACCCCTGCCTCTCCCTGCAGTGGTGTTCCCCCAGGATCTGCTGGAGAAGGGCCTTGAAGCTGACAACTTTGCCATGCTGGGACTTGGAGACATTGTCATTCCAGGTGATTGCTAGGAGAGGGTTGTGGTGGAGGGGTGGAGAAGGTGGCTGTGTTAGGAGGTTACTATGAGGCGGGCAGCTAGCCTTACCTATTAGGAATGGGCAAGGTCAGGAAGATTCTGCAGACTTTCCCTCAGTACATGTTTGGTGGCAGGGGACAGGTCTCTTTCCCATATGTTTGGACTTAAAGAGGAGGCCATAGGCAGCTTCCGGTGAGTAAGCTCAGAATGGCCTTGAACACAGCTGGCCAACCAGGACTGGTCAGCCAGAAGGGGGAACCCTGCTTCTGGGAAAAAAAGCCTGCCTGGCCTTTTTCTCAAATCAGGAGGGTGAGGAAGCTGGAAGTATACATCTTTATCCCTGGCCCCATCTTCCTGTCTGCGTGTCAGGGATCTGTGTACCTCTTAGTTCTTTGAAAGGACTGATAGAAATCCACACCGTTCCCATCAGTGGGGCTGTCTGGCAGTACAAGAGGGCAGGAACGTGGCTCAGTGGGATAGTTTAAGAGTACAGGGCCCTGGGTTCATCTGCAGACCACACACACGTAAAGGCCTTCACTGTCAGAACTGTTTCTAGGACAGTAGCAACAGGAGAATGATGGTGACAGCACCTGCCACTCACCAAGCACTGTAGTGGGTGGGTGTTGTGTCGTTACTGCTACTCCCATCAACTCCAGGGGACAGAGGGAACTTCTGCATTCCAGGTTAAAGAAACAGGTTCAGAGAAATGGCTCAACTTGTCTGAGAGATTGGCTTGACATACCCCACCCACTCCAAGTATCCCCATGGTGTACAACACCAAAGTCAGCAGGGACTTGCTTCCCAGGTAACATAGGAGAGATATGAGCCCTGTAGTAGAAAATGATGGTACATGCCTATAGCTTCAGTAACCCCAGACACAGACAGGAGGGTTTTTTAAGAAAATGATGGAATCCCAGCCCCAAAATGCCTTATGGCAGCCGTTCTCAACTTCCCCAGTGCTGCTACCCTTTAATCCAATTCCTCATTTTGTGGTGACCCCCAACCATAAAATTATTTTCATTGCTACTTTGTAACTGTAATGTTGCTACTGTTATGGATCATAAATATCTGTATTTTTTTCTGATGGTCTTAGGTGACCCGTTGAAATGGTCATTTGACTTGAAAAGGGTCACAACACATAGGTTGAGAACAACTGCCTTACAGAGACCCAGTGTCTAGCTTCCCCAGTCTCCTTGGTATGTGATTCTGGGGTTTAGGAGTGCATTAGTCCTTCCCAGATTCATATGTAGCTCCAAATCTTCCAGCAGTCACCCAGCCCAGAGGGATGAAACCCCCTCAGCTACCAGGTAATTAATTCAGTTCACTAGCAGAGCCCCTGCCCCTGCTTTAGTTGGAGAGCTATTACAAGTGTTAGTCACCAGGGGGTGCTGAACTCCAAACACTAGAAAAGGCAGCTCTGGTCAGCTTTCTCCACCCATCTCTCCTCTCATAGTCCTCACCACTAAGGAGGACTCATTTCCGTCTTTAGTGACACAGGGTAAGGAGTGTGACTCAGGGCACACAGAATGCTTCAGCTCTTGAGAGGCCAACCTCAATTATGGGAGAACTTCATCTGTGTCCTCTGTGAGCCTGGAGGCCAGTGACGGAGGAGGTTCCTAAAGGATGTAGTGTGTGAGGCATGTGGAAGTTGGGGTGGCTGCCTGTGTCTCGAGGACTCGGGATTCTGGGGCATCTCCTAGTGCTCTGCTCCTTGCTCCACCTCCAACCAGACAGCAGCGTGGGGCTCTTTCTAGACCTGTTCAGGTGGTCCCGCCCAGAACTCTTCCATAGTGTTGTGTTCCTCAGAATGTAGACCTTGGCTGGCCCCATGGCCATTCTGTGC